TGGTGAATCCTTAAAAAAATCGAGAATTTCGTATAAAAATTTACGAATTATAAATTACTATTCAAAATATTAATCTAGATATTGAAATAGGGAATATCATTATTCGTCTCCAAAGGAGTTATCAATTTTTAATGAAAAGAAATAAGGGAAAAACAAACTATGGCTGGAGGATTACAACGACAAATTTTGTTTTGTTTGTGTTTCAATTTTTATTTTTTAATTTGAGTTTTGAGTTGATTTTTAATTTTCCATTTGAAGATCTGCTTTAAGATTGCTAGAAACGTGTTTAGCTCATCATTTCAAAAAATTATTTATCAAACATAAAGCTAGGAAATACATTTGGTTTGAAATTTTGAAAAAATATTTTATGACAATTTATTTCATGAAATTTGATTATTTAGTAAAAATCGAATATTTTTATATTAATACATTAACAAGTAATATTTTACTTAATAATCAAAATTCATGGAATATTCTCGAAATTTTAAACAAAACGTGTTTTCTACTTTTCTCTTTGAGAAATAGTCGTTCTAAATGACAATCATTCGCGTTTTCAACATTCTCAAGTTTTCATTTTCAAATGAATAGCGCTAATCAACTCAATAGATGCTTATCTTCAGCCTAGGTGTCCGTCTATTAAGTGTTTTTAAATGATTAAAATGTGACCCTTATAAAATGTTCAAGTATAAGATGTTTAATTATTTAATATTAATAACACTAAGCTCCCGTTTGGCTCCCATTTTGTAGAAATGAAAATTGGTTAAATAGTATTTTTTTTGAAAAATGAGTCGCTGAAAAGGAAAGAAATTTTTTTAGTTTACGTGTTATATTATTTTATAAAAATTTGTATTATTAAAAATAAGAGAGTAAAAAATATATATAATAGAATGAAAATTAATTCGGGAAAGGAGATTAATGGGTACTATTGATAACCATAAACGAGATCGAAACCACATAATTCCTACTAAAACGAGATTAATTTGTGATTAGGTACACTTATCACAATCAATAGTACACGTCACTATCAGATAATTATTCAAATGGGTCCCAGTGTAACAGTGACCGAATATCCCAAAATCAAACGAACCCTACACGCACGTTCTAATGACAATCATTCAAATCTTGAGTTTGCAGTTATGTCAGACGCTTTCTTAGCCGTCAGATTAAAACTTGCAAATCAGTCGCGAATTGACAATTTTATCCTTGAAATCGGCTATATAATAGTTGCTCTAGGTTGTAAATTGAAAAGAGAAGAGAGAATCCTATTAACGTACATCGGCTGCCGTTTGAGGGTTTTCATTTTTCATCTTGATTCCTTTTTATATATAGAAAATCAGAGGCAATCCAGTTAGGGAATGCAGAGAGATGAAATCAGCTCCGTTTTGTAGAGGCGGAAGGTATCAAAAACCGCCCATTGGAGGCCGGAATTGCCACCGGAAACACGTTGAAGACGGGTGAACATCAGCCGCCACCACCACTGCCCAAAATTCTTCCATTTCTATTTCTTGAAACGTACGAAGTTTGTTCCTTTTTTACTTTTTAATTATGACAATGGGATCTGACGAAAAAAGTGCTGTGTTGCATGGAAAATATGAATTAGGCCGACTTTTGGGCCATGGCACGTTTGCAAAAGTTTACCATGCTCGGAATTTGCAGACGGACAAGAGCGTGGCTATGAAAGTTGTAGCCAAGGAGAAGGTGATTCGTGTAGGGATGATGGAGCAAGTGAAGCGTGAAATCTCGGTGATGAAGATGATGAAGCACCCCAATATTGTTGAGCTTCACGAGGTGATGGCGAGCAAGTCCAAAATTTATTTCGCCATGGAATTCGTTCGTGGTGGCGAGTTGTTTGCTAAAATTGCTAAGGGCCGATTGCGCGAAGATGCAGCCAGGAATTATTTCCAGCAATTGATTTCGGCCATTGATTTTTGTCATAGCCGTGGTGTATATCACCGGGATCTGAAGCCGGAAAATCTATTGCTGGATGAAGAAGGTAACCTCAAGGTCACGGATTTCGGGCTGACGGCATTTACAGACCATCTCAGGCAAGACGGCTTATTGCACACCACTTGTGGGACGCCGGCATATGTTGCCCCTGAGGTGATTGGGAAGAAGGGGTACGATGGGGCAAAGGCGGATATTTGGTCATGTGGCGTGATTCTTTATGTATTGTTGGCTGGATACCTTCCATTCCAAGATGATAATATTGTGGCTATGTATAAGAAAATTTACAGAGGCGATTTCAAGTGCGCGCCATGGTTTTCATCCGAGGCACGAAGATTAATCACGAAGATGTTGGATCCAAATCCAAGTACGAGGATAAGCATAGCGAAAATCATGGATTCATCGTGGTTCAAGAAATCGACGCCTAGGAGTTTTAGGACTAAAGGAGAGCAGGAATTCGCTGCGGTTGAAGATGAAGTGAATATTGGGAAGAAAACGGAAGCTGAGACTTTGAATGCCTTCCATATCATTTCGTTGTCTGAAGGGTTCAATTTGTCTCCTCTTTTTGAGAAGACGAGGGTGGAGAAGGAGGAGTTGAGATTTGCAACCACTAAGCCAGCAAGCAGTGTGATAACCAAGCTCGAAGAATTGGCAAAAACAAGGAATTTTAGCGTAAAGAAGAATGATTCAAGTGTCCGATTGCAGGGGCAAGAGAGTGGCAGAAAGGGGAAGCTTGGAATATCTGCTGATATATTTGCTGTGACACCTTCATTGTTGATGGTTGAGGTGACGAAGTCTAGTGGTGATACTTTGGAGTACAATCAATTCTGCACTAAAGAGTTGAGACCTGCACTTAAAGATATTGTTTGGACATCAGCCACTGGCACTTCAATGCTTGCTTGAAGTGTTCTACAAGTTCCTCTAATAAATCCCAGTTGAGATTTCAGGATTCTTAGCTTTGATGTTCAGTTATTGTCAATCTCTGAATTTAATTAGTATGATTTAAATTCCTGTGTGTTAGTTCTATATGGTTGAATCCTCTGTTCCAGAATGTGTTCATAGTTTGTGCGTCTATGTTCTGTTAATGATCTGTCATTCAGAGTTCATTGTTGAAACCAAAATTGTAAATTTGCTTCAAGTGGTTGATTGGCTTTTGTGTAAATGGGGCCATTTCATAATTTTTTATTGTTTTATTGGTATGATGATAACTTCGTTTTATGTAAAGTGAAAATAATTTGAGTGCTTGTCTTCTGTCTCATCTGCAATCAATATATTAGGTGGGAATTATTAGGGAAGGCAAGAAACTATGAAACAGTAACCTTCTTTGCTATAATAGTAAACCCAGTGATGAAGTAAATGAATAGATTAGATCTGGACGCTCAAATCTTTATTATTCTTAGCGAAGTGAATGTAAATAATTCCATTGTCATTTTGGGTTCAAATGCATAGTTTTGCAAGCCAACTGTGCACAGTTTTTGGAGTTCTGAATCATTTGATCCCAACATTTCATTTGGTTTTCTGGTGTTGGGGATAAGAAAATTGTGAAATGGAGTGAAAATATTGCTATCAAACGGGGCTTAAGTATTGAATCTTGAAAATGTGGCTGCTGTCTATTTACGATTCCTTCATCTTCGCCAAACCTCATTGGGAGAGCCTTCATTCTAATTCTGTTATATTACCTAAAGCTCGAAAGCAATTAATCTTGATATTAACAATTTATTTCACCCTCATTTTGGCAATCTCGGGACTGGTTACGCATCTTCAAAATTAGATAAATTCATTATTGCTTGATGTGATATAACTTTCTTTTCTTGTAACCTCGATTTTCATTTGAATAGTAAAAGGCGTTTCGATTTTCTTCTCCTCATGCTTGTGCTGTGTAGAAATGAACTTTTTTGAAAACCCCGACCGCAGCTTTATTATGTGGATTAAAATGCCTATATTTTTCAACTAATATGCCAATTACATGTGCAAAGCGAGTATGTGAGTACATATTTTGGGGACCGGTTGTTTGTCCAAATTGCTCGATAGTGACTCGTGTCTGCCCTTGTGCAAATTATCAACTCCAATCTTAATTTTAATCTCGGTATTTTTATTTTATTTTATTATTATTATTATTTATTTTTTTTTTTTGATTTTTTGTATTCTAAAGCAAGTGGATAATTATATCGACAGTTTTTATGTATTCAGGGCCTCTTGATAAGTT